CATACCCATTTGTAGAAAATGTTGTATGATCTCTGGCTGTGTCTACATTGACCTCTATTAAGTTTGATTTGATAGGATGCTGCCATGCTGGTCTTAGCTATTAGTCACATGCTTTCTGAAATAATGAACTGTTATCTCAGTTAGTCCGAAGAAATATTGCTGTAGGTCTTGGCTAGTTGGCTTGAGATGTTGCCTTGTGAATATTTCAGGCAATAGAGGTTGTTGAGTTGGACCAAAAGACAAAAATGGTTTCAGAGCTTGATGGACACATTATGCGCTGTGTACGTGATCAGAATGGAAATCATGTTATCCAGAAGTGTATAGAATGTGTTCCTGAGGATAACATTCAGTTTATTGTTACTACCTTCTATGACCAAGTAGTGACATTATCCACCCATCCTTATGGGTGTAGGGTTATACAGGTCCAGAAAATTAATTTACTCCATCTGCCTATTATTGGTTCATTGTATCTAATTATTGATAGTTACTATGGTCCGATGGAAAATGAGTTCTTTAAATCTAAATCCTGTTCCTTTTCAAAACAGAGAGTTCTTGAGCATTGCCACCGTCCTGAAACGCAAAACATTGTAATGCGTGAGGTTTTGCAATCTGTTAGTATGTTGGCTCAAGATCAATATGGGAATTATGTTGTTCAGGTTTGCACTTTATTTTGAAGAGTCTTGCTGTGCTGGGTATCATTTCAATCTTATTTTATATTAACCTAACCACTATCTTCAAGTAATATTTAATGAAATGAGTCTGTACTTAGCATTCCATCTCTTCCATATTTGGGCTCTGTTCACTTAATGATGCATAACTGAGGATTCCTTGGAGATTGACTAAAGCTGTTCTGGTTTCTTTTTTAGCTGAATGAGTTTTTCCTAAATGTTGTCTCTAATGGGTTTTAAACATGGAAGGGAATCAGGATGTGCCCCTTTTATCCATATTTGAATAAGTAATGAAACCTTCTAACAGAGCGCGCCTTGTTGTACTACAGCATGTATTGGAGCATGGAAAGCCAGATGAGCGTTCCTCTATAATAAATACGCTGAAGGGAAAAATAGTTCAGATGAGCCAGCAGAAATTTGCCTCTAATGTTGTGGAAAAATGCCTAACTTTTGGTACTCCTGAGGAGCGCCAGACCTTGGTAAATGAGATGCTGGGGTCTCCTGATGAAAACGAACCTCTTCAGGTTTGTGGATTTCTGGCATTCGCGCTTAATGATCATTTTTTTATATTTAAATACGCAATGCTTTACTTGGAATAATCAGTCCTTTTTTGTATATGATTGCTTTACTACATAAACAAAATAAATATACCTGAATTCAGACTTCCACTTGGCTCCCTTCATTTTAATTCATTTGTCAGTGTTAATCAGATCACGTGGTTTTACAAAATGTAGTGGGATAATAAATTAATCAAAACTTTAATGCTTTCGTCAAAAGCTGCTTCCATCTATGTTTTTGGGAAAGAGTAAATTGAAAAGTATAAGGGTGAATTCGGGAAAAAGTTAATGCATATGGATTTTGTAATCGGACAACTAAAAGGAACAAGGAAAATAGATACAATGTAGATAATTAAATATGAACATATATGGTGATATGGTTCATTCACGATGTTTGCTGCAGTAGTAAGTAGGCAATCTTAGGAAAGAGTAAAATTATAAACCTATATTTAAATTATCATTTAAAGTTTCACATTCAAGGCTTGTTTCCATTACTTTTTTATACATTTTGTTTGTGTGTAGTGTGTACTAATTTCATGATGATCTTTTGCACAGATTATGATGAAAGACCAATTTGCAAACTATGTTGTACAGAAAGTGCTGGAGACTTGTGATGACCAGCAACTTGAACTCATCCTAAACCGAGTAAAAGACCACTTGAACGCCTTGAAGAAATACACTTACGGGAAGCATATTGTTGCCCGTGTGGAGAAACTTGTTGCAGCCGGAGGTACTTTGCGTATCCCTCTTATAATCACCTACATTTTGAATTTCTTAAAGATCTTTAGTGTTTTGATTAATTGTCTTAAAGTAGTCAACACTAAATTCTTGCAACACTAATAAGAACAACAACAACAATTATAATAAGAATACTATGTAAAATACACTTAAATGAATTTTTGAAGTTTTTTTTCCAGTTTTCCCAGTTTCCAGTTTCTTCCACTTTTCCATTTCCTTTCAGTTTCTTCCAATGTCCAACTATTTTGTTCCAGCCCTAAAGAACAGGCTCTCAGTAGCAAAGTTCTACGTTGGGTGCCCTTCCTCTCACAAAAGAACAATAAAATGAAATTCCAAAACATTCATCATTGTAGGGTATTTTCACTCTTCAAAAATAGCATGAGACAGTAATGAGTTGAGTTGGGTTGTTGTACTCAAACCTTTACCCCTAATTATAAATTGCAGGGAGGTTGTCTCACAAAGATAGTTACCAAAGTCATACACTGATACTCCATTACAAAATTGATATTATAAAATCAACATGCACATATTGGAAAAGAAATGAATAAAAAACAGTGAAACAATTTTAAGGAAACTGGGGCCCAAATGAACTGTCCCCACATGTTACCATTGCTTGTTTAGCTGCTTTCTTTTTCAAATGCAAAATGATTTTTTTTATATAAATTATATATGTATCACCCTCATGGCTCAACCATATGTTCAATCTATATTGCAGAGAGGAGGATCGGTATTCTGTCTTCGTATTCTGCATAGGCGGCATATAAAAAGGTCAAAAGGAATCTGTACAGTTAACTGAGGCTAGTGTGACTCTCCTCTCTTCCTTTTTTTTACTGTGTCCAGCTTTAGCCATTTGTCTCGTAAGATAAGGTGGCTAAGCGAACTACAGAAATAAAAGCTTCTACTGGTTGTACTTACAAACATGTAAATTTGGTAGTTTGAGTATATTACTTTATCTAGAGAATCAGGTTAAGGCTCCCATGGTAAAACGTTTTTACTGATGCCATTGTGCGGAGAGAGAAGTATACTATGAAGTTTACTGTGCAAGTTTGAAGAGTGTACAGAGAAGGGTAAAAAAAAGAAAGTTAGCCTGTGACTGTAAAATGTTGCCATGTGCAGAGCCAGTGGTTTCTAGGAATAGCTGAGTTTACTGTTGTACGGAATTGTAAGAATTCTCCCTCTGTTTTTATTTGTTTATTTATAATGGAATGTTCACTCTTCGCGTGCTATAAAATCTGTTATAACTTTCTTTTGATCCTTCAATTATATCGCGTTGGAATATCCAAACGATGCACAAGTCTCAACACCCTCTCAAACAAGGACTATTTGGCTCAAATCTGCGCAAAAATATTAATATACTTTGGCACCATTTATTTCTCATCCCAAAACCTTGTGAGGATGGGAAGGTAGATTTTATACACTTATATGTCTCCAAAATCTACTTGGGACTTACCTTGAAAACATGGTTTCGTTGTTTTAATGCTGCAAATAGGTGAAGTGCTTATTTGTTGTGGTCTTAGGTGTGAAGTGCTTACCATTGTGTGCCTTGGGCAGTGGTTGGGAGTTTATTTTTAGAATGGGAAAGGAATGGAAGTGTTATTTTATGTTATGCGCCTAAGATATAGTCTGCCATTCTTAGCCTTCATTTACACTATCCATAGCCACCGCGTTTGATAGTGTAAATGCATGCAAAGCTGAAAATTGGTTTGGTTTGTGTACGTTTAAAGCAAGCTTTGGTTATTTGGGGGTTTTTTGTTTCGGAAACGTAGAATGCACACGATAGTTTTGCCTTAAGAGACAGCCTAGTTCAACGGTTTGAGGACCAATGCCATTGTCCACTCTGTGGCATGCTTGAGTGTAACATGGATTTCTCACTTTAGATATAAGGTGATGGTAAACGCGGCAAGCATGATTTTTGAGGAGTGAGTTTCTTTGAGGCAAATCCTTCGTATTTGGTGCTTGAGATTTGATCTTTTCGTAAGGGTGTTAGATCCGACAAATTCAGGTTCATCATATGCTTAAAATCCTCAATAACTAATAAAAAGTTTGGTTTTCAACTGATAATAAGCACACTACTTCAATAAGCACATCTAGTTCCTCATTCAATTATTCTTACTAGTGGTCAAAACTGCGCTCAAAAAAGTATATATCCTTTTAGAGCTGATAAATCAATCGGTCAGGTCAGGTTCGGGTTAAAAATTAAATATTTGTAATCCAGTATTGTTTAAATATATACTGAAATTTGCATTAAAAATAATAAAACATGGAAATATATATACTAAAGCTATTACTATAATATTTTATTTTGAATTTTAAAGTAATTTTAAGACATATGCAGTACTACGTAATTGACTGGTTGAAAGTTATGTAAAAGAGAAATGATATAAGCCATATAAACATTTCTTTAAAAGAAAAATGAAGCTTTTTTTCAGGATAAATAAAAACAATGTAAAGAACTTTCTAGGATGAAGATTAATTTTCTACAAAAATACTTTTTTTCTCAAATTAAGTTCTTATTTGATTTTTCTTTTTTGTAAATTTAAAGAAATGTGAACATTTTATCATTGAATTAGATTTACACCTTGTTATTAAAAACAGAATTTACACTTTCTTTTTTTGTTCATACATAAATAAATTTTACAAGTTTTACCTTCTGTTTTTTTAATATACTCCGTATGAATCAGAATATTTCTACGGAGTATTTAATAAACATTCCACAAGTTTTTTTTATTTAAAAAAACCTTGATAAAAAAAAGAACCAAAAAAATCCACACAATTTCCGGTCCAGACGGAAGTTTAGGTGTTTACCGCCGAGAAAAAAAGAGGTCCATAGTCGTCCGGCTTAAAAAGAAAACCGCCTTACCGGGACTGCCGGTTCCATCCATTCACTAAACCGGACAATTATTCCTCATTATTATTCACCCAAATCGGACCGGATCGTCGGGTCTAACCGGACCGACCTTATCCCCATCTTAACCCGCCTGTCCGGTCTTCCGTCGATTCAGCCAATCCTCACATAACTCAAATCCTCCGCCCTTAACTCGGTCGCCCCAATCTCCGTTTATGCCAGTTCCCGACTGAACCCGACCCGGTAAGTTCCTTTCTTGAACCCCCTCTTTTTAAAGCTGGATTCTTTATGCCATATTCTCCCTCCAGAAATTCTGGGTTTTCTTGAATGAAACCTCTGCTGAGCTCTCCATTTGTGGGATCTTGAATTGAAAGATTGGGCTGATATGTATGAAACCCTAGAATGTTTTTGTTTTGTTTAGGAAAGATTGGGTTTTTTATAATTTAAAGAGAAGATATTCTTGGGAATCTGATGTAATTATGGCTTCGAATTTGGAACCCATACCTGTAACTTCACAAAAACATGACCCAGCATGGAAGCATTGTCAAATGTATAAAAATGGGGATAGGGTTCAACTAAAGTGTGTATATTGTGGGAAGGTGTTTAAGGGTGGTGGGATTCATAGGATTAAGGAACACCTTGCTGGGCAGAAGGGAAATGCCTCTACTTGTATGAGAGTTCAGCCCGAGGTTCGGATTTTAATGCAAGAGAGCTTAAATGGGGCTGCATTGAAGAGAAGGAAGAAGCAAAAACTCGATACCCAAATTGTCCTTACCGGCAATATTGAGCCTTTAAGTGAATTGAGCCCCGGGGTCGAGTTGCTTCCTGTGGTGGATTCGCTTGAGCAAAGTTTTGGCGCGTTTGGGTGCCAAGACGAGGGAGAGGGAACAAGCAACCAAGTTACAGGGAGGAAGAAGAAGGGGAGGATTAGGAAGGCGATAACTAGTAAAGAGGTTGTGAATGGCGGCATCACTAGGGCTAATGACCAAGTTCATATGGTGATTGCGAGGTTTTTACTTGATGCGGGGATACCCTTTGAAGCCGTGAAGTCTCCTTATTTCCAGCCTATGATTGACGCGATCGCTTCTCAAGAATCCGGGATAATGGGTCCCACTTACCACGAACTAAGATCTTGGATCTTGAAGAACTCAATCCAAGAAGTGAGGAACGAAATCAGCAGATGCTCCCACACATGGACGCGAACCGGGTGTTCGGTTTTGGTCGAAGAGTCGACAACTGAGAGGGGCAAATCCGTCATAAACTTCTCGGTGCATTGTCTAGAGGGGACGATGTTCTTGAGGTCAGTAGACACTTCTGAAATGGTACATTCTACTGAAACCTTATACGGATTGCTTAGAGACGTGGTGGAGGAAGTAGGGGTCAGAAATGTCTTGCAAATTATTACAAGCAACGAAGAACGGTACATAGAAGCAGGGCAAAGGGTGAGCGACACTTACCCCACAGTTTTCTTGGCCCCATGTGCTTCCCAATGCATCGACGTGATGCTCAATGATATCACAAGTCTCGGATGGGTAAACGAAACTCTAGGGCAAGCTAAAACTATATCTAGGTTTATCTATAACAATAACAACATCTTGAATTTGATGAGACAGCATACTTTTGGAGTTGACATGGTTGACTTGGGCGCGACGCGTTCATCAACCGATTTCTTGACATTAAATAAAATGTTAAACATCAGACAACATTTGCAATCAATGGTTACTTCTGTGGAGTGGATGGAGAGTCCTCATTCAAAGAAGCCTGAGGGGTTTTCGGTCCTGGATTTGATTGGCAGCGAGTCGTTTTGGTCCAGCTGCACGTTGATAACCCGCCTCACGGGCCCACTCTTGAGACTTTTAAGGATAGTCGGGAGCAAGAAACGCCCTGCAATGGGATATGTTTATGCGGGTCTCTACCGGGCAAAAGAAGCAATCAAGAAAGAACTCGCTCACAAGAACGACTACTTGGTGTATTGGAACATTATAGACCACAGGTGGGCCCCGCTGCAGCGGCACCCACTTCATGCCGCGGGGTTTTACCTCAACCCGAGGTACTTTTACGCCACCGTGGAAGACGTTCACCTTTATTTGAGGTCCTTGGTGTATGATTGCATAGAGAGATTGGTTCCCGACCCGAACATTCAAGACAGGATTGTTAAGGAGACTTCCTCTTACCAGAATGCTGCTGGGGATTTTGGGCGCAAGATGGCTGTCCGTGCTAGAGACACTCTATTTCCTGGTGAGCTTCCTTTTACTGAAAATTTCCTACCTTTTCGTCATATTGTTATTTTAATGTGAAGCTCTTTTGTCATATGATCAAAATGCATGTGAAATTTGTATTGCTCTTAGTACAAAAGCAACAACAAACAACCCAATAAAATCCCACAAAAGTAGGGCCCGGTGGGCGAGCGTATGCAGACTCTACCCCTACTTGGAAGTAGATAGATTATTTCATTGCAGAGTTTGCTGCACAAAAGGGCATTTATGTGATATTTTTGTTGAATCATTGTAGGTGAGTGGTGGTCAACATACGGCGGGGGGTGTCCAAATTTATCACGTTTGGCTATTCGCATCTTAAGCCAAACGTGTAGTTTGATGAGCCATGCCAAGCCAAAGCTATCTCATTTGGAGCAGATGCATGAAACCAGTAACTCCATAGAGCATCAAAGGCTCAAGGACATTGTCTTTTTACAGTCCAATTTACACTTGAGGTACAAAAAAAATACATCATAGCAATAAGAACAGAGATTTGGCAGGAGAATAACATAATTTCTCTCTACTACAACTTTCCATTTATAGGGAACACCATGGCAATAAGAGCAGAGAGGATGGCTCCGTGGACCCCATTTCATACGAAAACTTACCCTTCATTAAGGATTGGGTTTCGGAGAGGGAGCCATGCTTGTACGAACCAGCAAGCTCGGACTGGATGGTTGTGGACCCACCTTCGTCTAATGCCGTGCTCTTGTCACCTCAAGTTGAAGATGACTTTGAAGCATTGGGTGCAGGTAAATTGTGTACTTAATTTTAATAGTTTAGCTGAAAAAATGGGGGAAAAAAATAAATTTTTTAGCATTAGTGTTCGATGTGAGACTATATACTCAAACGAAAAATTCATACGGTATGTGCAGGTTTTGGCGATTATGAGATTTTTGATGGAGTGAAAGATATGGTCAAAGATGAAAATGGCGATGATACCTTGTAAAAAAACAGTACAACAATGGCGACCCATTCATTATCTGTCATTTGCTCTAATTTGTTTCTGCAGATTTACCCTTTGGGCAGTCAAAATTTGAGTTACTGCATAATTTGGCAATGGTAAAATATACAATGTGGTGATTTTTAATATTTGTACTATGAATGGATGGCTTTTATTTGCTTTAAAAATCAGTGAAAAAAGACCTCCAATGAAAAATAGTCTCGTAGTGATGAGCCGAAGGATCCTTTTGAGAGCGGTTCAATTCAAGGCCGGCAGTCTCATTTGGACCTTTAATTAATGTGTAGGACTAAATCGGTTGTCTTTTTTTTGGTCACTAATTAAGTGAAAGATAATAAAATAATTTCATTAGTGTAAAAAGAAAAGTTTTACTTGTCTTAAAAATACAAATTGATATTACTATATACAATCCATTATACATTACATTATTTTTTATAAGTTTGCAAGTGCAAAGGATTGTAATAAATCGACTCAAATATAAAGTTACATAAAAATGAAAATGCAGTTTTTATTACTTGTAAATTATAATAATACAACATCTGAGAGAAATATGATTATTGACTCATTGTTGTGTAATAAGATAATGAAATAGGAAGGGGATGAAGACATATTATAAAGATTTTGACTCTTTAATTTGTAAAGTAAAAAATATTACAAAAAATTTGGAAATTGGGAAAATAAATATCCGTAGTTTTGATTGTGGACTAGACCAGTCAAAATTGATCCCATTTTTTTGGCGGAGAAACGATACGAATATAATATAAATGTAATGCCGAATTGGACTAGCAAATCAAAGTGGCGCAGCGGAAGCGTGGTGGGCCCATAACCCACAGGCCCCAGGATCGAAACCTGGCTTTGATATTTTTTTTTTAGAAAACTTTCATTCTCTGATCCCGTCCCTCCACATCTCACTCGTTATATATGTTTTCTCTTTTTTGGGTACAAAATTTTGCTGTTTAAATGACACTATTTCTCTTTTTTTTTTTAGTAAATTTCATAAAAGATACACATTCATAGTTCATTTTACATATTTAGTCCATACATATCTAATATCAATAATTTAGTCCTCAATTATTATATTGTTTTCCACGAATGGTCTTTTGTTAACATTTCCATTAAAAACATGGACAAAATTGTAAATTTACGCTACTCTATCTCTTCAATTAAGTTTTCTCCCTCCACTCGCACTCCTTTTCCAAACCCGTCGCCGAGTTTGAAGTTCTAAACCTAAAACTGAAACGATCACTCCTCTTTCAATCGCTCATCTTTGTTCTTTTTTTTTCTTCAATGTACGCTAGAAAAAGATGTGCCTCCTCCGGAATGTGATAATTTTGTCATATATGTTGTAGGAGAATTTTTTCATATCTTGTTCTTCTAGTTTCATGATGAAAGTGTAGCATTAAAAATACAAGTTTATTCACTTTGATCTTTGAAAATACCAAGAAGAGGCGACATACACATCAAATTCATACTTTCTTATTTAACCATTATTACAGCTGAAACTTAAATCCCACGCGTTTCAGGGAAAGCAAAGATGATGATGATGATGATAAGAACAACAACAATGACGACGACGACATCAACAACTACAACGACGACGACGACAATATAATCCGATCCGGCCCATAAATGCAACAACTTTCTTCAATATGAAAAATGCTACTCCAACATCACAGACGACACCAAGTCAACACCACCAGAGACCAATCATATCTGTGCATGAGACACTGATGATGTCAACTTGGATGGGTGATGTGGGCCTGTAGTAGCATAATTAGGCCTGTTTGGCAATGTACTCATCAAGCTCTTTGAAGTTCTTCTCAGCAAAGTCCATAATGGGGCTTGGGTCAGGAATCTCATCATGGGCTTTCTCATAGACACAGGCCCATTGGACCAAGCTTCCTTCTTCTTCCTTCTCCTTTGGCACCACTGTCACATGGGCTTTGAAGCTCTTGTAGTACTTCAGCAGATCACCTCCAATGATGTTGTAAACAAATGTCTTGTTTGGTGGGTCCACCTCAACTATCCTCTCCTTTGACACTTTCACCAGCTCAGACCCTACACAAATACGCGTACATTATGTTCACATTCATTCGCACACCAAGTAATAAATCACTCCGTTTGAAAAAAAAAACAATTCCATCACAGACGCAATGTCTGTGCATGCACAAACATTACGTGTCTGTGAAGGCTTGGTGTACAAACAGATACCCCAACGGACGGAATTAAGTAATTAAAATTATTACCTCCTTCGCCGTAGTTGATCAAACGGACGGAACCCACGGCGATGCCATCGCCTTCGAGAACCTGGACGCTTTTGTAGTCGTGGGGGAAGGCTTTAGGGTAGATGTAGATGAAGTCCCTAAGGGCTTCCCAAATCTTATTGGCATTGGCCTTCAGTTCCACTTCCACACTCAACTTTCCTCCCACTTCACCAGCCATAGCTTAACTACAAATGTGGATACATAGAAGCTAGCTAGCACCACTTAGTTTGCTGCTTTAAGCTAAGGCCTGAAGTGGAACATATATATAGTGCGTAGTCAAGTGGATGCATAAGTACGTATATAGAGATATACTCCCCCGTCCCAAAAAATCTTTCCTGTTTCATATTTTGCGCATCTCATAAAACACTTCTATCCCGCCTTGAATGCCAAAAATACTTTCACAATAACTTCTACCCACAATAAAGAAGAAATGTTGTAAATTTTAGACATTTTAGATGTTGTTAGAAGTGTTTTATGTGATGCGCAAAAAATGAAACAGGAAAGACTTTTTGGGACGGAGGGAGTAGTACACACTAGCTACCTTCAAGTATTCGTCCGCTTTTAACTTTTTTGATTAACTAGGATCGATCTTTAATTTGGCCTATAATTAAATAAAAATTACTCCCTCCGTCCTGAAATGTTCTTCCCACTTACTATTCACACGGTCAAACTTTAATCATTTTCTTTACTTATTTTCATTAGGTATTTGATAAAATAATATATTCTTGTCACCACTTGTTTTGTAAAACTTTTGATGTAGTTTTTAAATATATAAATTTTATTTTTTTATTTTACACCTACAATTAAATAAATTGAATTAAAAATAAAGTCGGTCAAACTTCGTAAACATAACTGGGAAGAACCTTATAGGACGGAGGGAGTACATAATATATTAATTTGATCAAATAGTATTTTTAACATATTTTATAAGCAAAATCTAAATAATACTCTCTTATTAATATCTAGTTTAAATTTCATTTAATTAATGATCAAAGTTTATTAATTTTTTGAATAAAAATGTCAAATCTGGACATATACTCAGGGATTGGAAAGATTCATTATATTTCAACCACATGTGCGGCCCCTCATACATACACACACAATATTTTGATTAAGTATTTTGGACAAAGGATTCATTTCAATCAAATCCAAAGTAATCCTAAGACAAATAAAAACCAACCCAATACTAGTATGTACTTGACTAATAAATAAACATTACCATAACAATAATAATTAGGGAGAAAGACCAAAGTAAGACTAAAATATTAAAAATATACCAAAATAAGACTTCCATGTTTTTATTTCCGAAATAGGACTTACATTAACAAACATGGTCATATACATTACCAAAAAAGTATAGTAATGTGCACATCTACACTGCCACATTACCACAGTGCAAAGTCACATTACCACAGTGCAAAGTTCTATTTTGGTACTTTTCTCTATATTTTAGTCCTATTTAGGGTGATTTCTATAATACTAATTATCTACCATATGATATTCACATGTTGACTAATTATCTACCATATGATATTCACATGTTGAACTTTGTTTTTAATTCTTAATAAGTAACTTGTTTTTGTTAATCATTTGTTAAAATAATATTATCATGTTACTTTTTCCTTTAAATAGTTTTTTATGCAGTTTTAAATATATAAACTTAATTTTAAAATTTTGCATCAATCCTCAAATAATTTTAATTGATTTAATATATGTTTCATACTTTCATTATTGTCTACAATGAGACAAGCAAAAGCACTTCACATAATAATAAATGCATGATAGTATATATAGAGCTTTGGTTTTACTCCCCGAATAGACTCCACTTTTGTCTGTACATATGTGAACAAAGTTGTTTTAACTTTTAACTCCTTGGTAAATACGGAGTAGTGACCTAAATAATGCAGAGTATGTTAAAATATAAAAACCTTTTTTAAATGGACAACTAAAAACTAAAACTATTCGTTGAGAATTCAAATTATTTGCAAAGTTTTACGGAATATATATTCTACTTGGTATATGTTGGTGTAAAATTAAAATATACTCCTAATATTTATATACAAATTAAACTACGTAAAACTGTCATAAATATACTTCTACAGAATTATCATAAATATACTCTTAAAAGTTAAATAGTCTTTAAATAATTTAATTTTGAATATATACTTAAATTTAGAATTTTGCATCAGTGCTTAAATAAATTTAATTCATAACACAAGGGTTGTTGTAATGGCATTTTTAAGAGTGGGTTTAAAATACAAACCCAACTTTAAACATTAGAGCACCTCCATTGGTGCCATAGTTAGTACTTCCTCCCTCTCTAAATATATCTCACATTTGCTTTTTCAGTAGTCGCGAGAACTTTTGTTTATTTATACATTTCCATTAGTTATTTGATAAAATAAAATATTCTTGACACCTCTTATTTCGAAAAACTTTTCATGTAGTTTTTTGATATGTAATTTTTATTTTTTATTTCTATAGCAATATGTAAATAAAATGAATTGAAAAACTTTGATATTTTACCTCGGTAATAGAAATGTGAGAAATATTTAGGGACGGAGGGAGTATTTTCTAAATAGATTACAATTTTTTTCTCTCTCCTTTCGATAACTTTTGTTTGTTTACGCGATTTCATTAAGTATTTGATAAAATAAAATATTCTTGCCACCTCTTGTTTTGTAGAACTTTTGACGTAGTTTTTTAATATGTAATTTTTATATCTTATTGATATACCAATTTGTAAATAAAATGATTTCAAAAAATAAGAAATTTTATTCCGTAACCCGCAATTTGTAATCAAATTAGGGACGGAGGGAGTATATGAATGGATGCATAGTTATATATGTTAAAACCATTATGCATGGTGTGTTGGATGGAGAGATAGAGAAATTTGTTTAAGTTGAATTTACCTAAATAGTACTCCGTACTAAAATATAATGACTTTCTCAATGTAGTATTCAAATAAATTAAATGTCCAACGTCACTAAACATTATTCAAATTAAATGTTCACCATCACTGGATATTATTTCTGCCACTTGACATTATTCAAATACTTTTAAAAGAATAAATAAGTTTAAATACTAAATTGGAAAATGACATATGTAATATTTAGTGAAAATTTCAATTTGCTTAAATGGTTTTCCCACCCACCCTTCAAATTCTTAACCATTTATGGTTATGATTATTTTTTTCCCAATGTATGGTTATGTTAATTTCTTGTGGTTATTTTTTGCTTCCGCATTTTGTTTTTCGTTCTCTCTCTCTCTTTGTTTCAATGTCTCTCTTTCCTTTTTTTTATTTTTAATTTTTTTCCCTCTCTTGCATTTGTGTGGTAGAGATGGAGGGGTACAAAAATGGGTGTACCCCTAGCATTTTTGGAGTTTAATTGTCTCCACTCCCCAATAATGCGACAAACAAAATGACTTGACACAATAAATGCATGATATGGCAGTTGAGCTTTGGTTTTACTCCCTCAGCTCGCTCCCCAAAATACACTCCACCTACTTTTAATTTGTCTCTACATATGTATGTGACCAAAGTTATTTTAATGGTTTGTTTCAATATAATAAGATCTTCCCCTCAACTTCCATCCATCTATAAATTTAAGTTTTTGATTGATTTTATTCTTTGATTTAATATTGAATTCTTGGCTAAGAGTGACCTAAAAGATGGGTTAAAATATAAAAAACCTCTTTTGAACGGACAACCAAAAACATAAATTATTGGTTAATTTT